TCAAATCTCTAGCATTGAGGTGGAAGGAAGAGTAATAAACTCAAAGGAGGAAATTAAAAGGTGCTTTGTGGATCATTTCAAGTGAATCCTTACCTCCTCAGTTATAAGCAATTTGGAATTGGGAGAATTACATTGGGATAGAGTACCCAAATCCAAAGCTGCCCTCTTAGAAAGAGTTTTTAGTATAGAGGAGGTCCATGAAGCAATTTTCTCGATAGATAGATCTAAAGCTTTGGAGCCGGATGGTTTCCTAATGGCTTTCTATCAAGATTGCTGGGAAATCTTAAAAGATGATTTAATGGATGTCTTTATTGAGTTCCATCAAAAAGGGGAAATCTCTCCAGGAGCAAATGCAACTTTCTTGCTTTAGTGCCTAAAAAGAAAGAGGCCAAAACCCCTAAGGAATACAGATTGATAAGCCTTGTGGGTAGCATGTATAAGATCATTGCAAAAATTTTAGCTGGTTGGCTAAAGACTGTCTTGCCCTTTGTCATTTCTCAAAATCAAGGAGCTTTTGTAGAAGGGAAACAAATAGTGGATCAAATCTTAGTGGCAAATGAATGTGTGGCAGCGAAGAAAAAGCAAGGTGGCAAAGGCTTGATTTGTAAATTGGACCTAGAGAGAAAGCCTATGATATGGTGGATTGGTACTTGCTATTGAATCTCATGGAAAAGAGGTTTGGGTGAAAGATGAAGACTATGGATTGAAGGATGTATTAGCTCGACACATTTTTCTGTCCTTTTAAATGGGGTAGCAATGGACTTCTCGGTTAAAAGAGGACTGAGACAAGGTGGCCCCTTATCCCCCTTCTTGTTTACCTTTGTTGCTGAGGTTTTGAGTAGACAAATCATCAAGGCTGGCCAAGAAAATCAGTTTAAAGGTTGGAGGGTTGGTAGATCCGAGGTGGTGGTGTCTCACTTGCAATTTGCAGATGATACTATCATTTTCTGTGAGAGTTGTGATGAATCAAGTTTGAGGAATTTGAAAAATTTGGTGGATAAGTTTTAGTAGGCCTCAAAACTAAAAGTGAATTGGGGAAAAGGTTGTGTAGCTAGAATAAACTTAGAAGAGGGTGATATCAAGTTTCAAAGTATCGACACATATCGGCCCATGGCTGATACGTATCGTTCTAGGACCCCTCCGATAGCCCCCTACAGTGGGTGTATTGGGGGTCTGACCGGTTCACGGGGTGGAGGAACCCTAAACCAGCCCCCCTGAACCGGTTGCGAAAAAAAATAAAAAAAAAAGCAACAAAAATGAGTATTGATTTGCCCGATACGCCCCTATCGACGTATCGATATTTTGAACCTTGAGTGATAACCAAACCATGGCAGATTTACTAGGATGTAAAGTGAAAAGCTGGCCTCTAGAATACCTAGGTATGCCATTGGGGGGAAACCTGAAAGCTGAAAGCTTCTAGAAACCAGTTTTAGAGAGATTCACTAAGAAGTTGGAAATGTGGAAGAGAAGTTATATTGCCTTGGGGGCATGAATAACCTTGATAAAATCCACCCTAGCAAATCTGCCCACTTATTTCCTATCCACCTTTAGGATCCCAATGAAAATAGCTAGGAAGCTGGAAAAGATAATGAGGGGTTTCTTGTGGGAACCCGGTGATGAAAAGAGGGATCACTTAGTCAAGTGGGAACAAATCTGCAAACCTAAGGAGCAAGGTGGCCTAGGCATAGGGAACATTTTAAAGAAAAATACGTCCCTTTTAGGGAAATGGCTGTGGGGATTCCCTTGTGAAGAAGGTAGGTTGTGTCATAGGGTCATTAAAAGCATTCATGGTGAAGTGGAAAATGGCTAGGATGCAAAACTAGCCTCCAATGCAGCTCCAAACTCCCCCTGGAAGGCAATCATTGAGGTACTACCAACCTTTCTTAACTTCATCCACTTTGATGTTGGGTGTGGCAATAAAGTGTTATTTTGGGAAGACCTATGGGTAGGAGATTTGCCTTTTAGTGTTAAGTTCCCTGACCTCTATTCCTTGTCAAACCTTAAAAATGAACCTGTTGCTAGGGTTGGTGTGCTTTCAGACTTGGGTCTCTCTTGGGACTTTGGATTCAGAAGGGGTCTGAGGAAGAATAAATGTGCCTCCCTATTGCTCTTGATCTCAATCTTAGAGAAGGTCCACTTAGACCAAAATACAACTGATGGTAGAATCTGGTCCCCAACCTCTGACGACTTATTTCTCTTGTGCCTCTTTCTTTATTCTGCTCACTCATTCTGAAATCTTGGGGGTGGACTTCCTAGTAAGAGAAATTTGGTGCAAACTGGTCCCTCTTGAAGTACAAGCCTTCTGTTGGGAAGTATTCCTAGGGAAGGTAAACACTTGTGATGTGCTACAGAAAAGAAGGCCAAACAAATGCCTTTCTCCTCATGCATGTGTCTTTTTGTAATGATTGTGGTGAAACCCTACCCCATTTACTCTTATCCTGCTCTTTTGTTTCTTGTATTTGGGGAATTGTTTGTTCTCTCTTTGGATGCAGATGGGCTCTCCTACAGGATGTAGTAAGTCTCTTCAGCCCCTCTTTCCTGAGGCAACAAAAAAAAAAAAAAAGAGGAAAGTGCTTATGGAAGGCAGCAAGAGCTGCTGCGGTGTGGACTATATGGGAGGAAAGAAACCAAATAATTTTCTTTGAAGAAAGCAAATTAAAGGAGGAAGTCATTGAAGCCATAAAAATCAGAACTACACATTGGGTGATGACCATGGAACATTTCAAAAACTTCTCCATGAATGACATTCATTCTAAGGAACTAGACTGAAGTGGCACAAACAGATGTACCCAAGGAAATTGTGAAGTGGAGTGGAAGCCACTTGCACTAAATAAACTAAAACTAAACTTTGATGGGAGTTCCTTTGGCAACCCCGGAAGGGCAGGTATAAGGGGTGTGCTTAGAAATCATCAAGGAGAAGTTGTGGCACTTTTCTCAGGACCAATAGGTATTGGTGACTTAATTCAGGCTGAAACTCTGGCTCTCCTACAGGGCTTAAAGCTGGCTGAGCAGATTGGAGCAACAGATTTAGAAATTGGAGGAGACTCACTACTGGTCATTTCTTGGGCTAAACAAATCACTTCAGCACCTTGGAAGCTCAAATTTATCTTTAGGGAAATTGACATACTTGCAAGGAGTTTCAACTCTCAGTTTGGTTGGGTAAAAAGGACTGCACATGCGTTGGCGGATACCCTAGCAAAACAGTGGGCAAATAGATCTACCTTGTTCTGGGAAAAACTGTAATTGTTTGTATTTGTTGCACCTTGGGTCAATGCAGTGCTGAAACCTAACTCTTGTAATTCAATATTTCTCTGATCTTAATAAAAGTCTTATTTGCTGATCAAAAAAAAAGTTGAGATCTTGTGCATAGCATGACTAACATATACCAACGAGACTAAAAGGCAAAACCTATAACAGTTTTAAGACCAGCATTTCTATATGGGACGACAGTGCAGTAGAGAGGACTTACGAGCAGCTCTAATTAGTGACAAAATGAGGGAAAGTTGACTATGATATTTCACATGCATTGGCAAACAATGATTGCACTTTCGAGGACTGACTTGGTGCAGGTAGAAGGCTCTAAAGAAGCAAGGGAAAAACTGAAGAAATGTGTTCTGAATTGATAATGACTTAAATTTTGATGGAAAGCTTTGTTCTTGATAGAGTATAGTGGAGGAACAGGATTTGTGTAGCTGACCCCAAATAGTTGCATTTAAGACTGAATTGAGTTGAACTGTAATGGGCCTACTCCATGGTTAAAAGGGCAACTTGGATGACCACTATATGATTCACCTAGCTCTATATTTAAGATCTTTGATGCATTTCTTTTTGATTTCCTATAAAATGGTTTTTGGTCAAGTTTCAAGTCGCGCATAGCTTTTTCCAAGATATTGGGTGAACCTTTGCAATAATCTAGTTAGCTTGAATCTTCACTTGGTCCTAGTCTGAGGCATCATTACTTTAACTACTATTCACTCTCACAATCATATATACATATTATATTGTTTTTTTTTTTTTCCTTTTGTTTTTTGGGGAAGGGGGGAGCTGTCACTTTGTCCATAATCCTGCAATCCACTGGTATGAAGTTCATCTTTTTTTTTTATTAATTTCTTTAGATGGCCTGAAGTTCATCTGTGATGCTTAATTTGTCTTCTTCTCTAAGTTTTAGAAACTCAGTTTTTATATAATCAACAATGCTAATTATTATATCAAAGTGAATGTTCTTTCCTTAAATTTGTAGTTTGAGGGCAGGGGAAGAGAATTCCACCTTGTGGTTAGAGGGTAGGAGAAGAGAATTCCACCTTAAATCCCCAATCATTGGGTATTGGGGTGATACGTTGAGACTCAAATGGTTTCCACGTAGCTAGATTGTCAAAGAGAATTCCATCTAGTTCAAGGGTAGGAGAAGAGAATTCCACCTTAAATCCTCAAACATCGGGTATTGGGGTGATATGTTGAGTCATCGAGACTCAAATGGTTTCCACGTGGCTAGATTGTCAAAGAGTTCCATCTAGTTCAAGGGTAGGAGAAGCTCAGGCTCTGCTTGAAGGCCTTAAGCCTTTGTTTACATAAGTGATGCTCTGGAACTTATCCACATCCTCTTGGAGGACTCATCCTCCCCCATGGTCTGTACTGATGTACATGACCGACTGCAGGAGGCTTTTCTCCTCTTTGATTCTGTCTTGGTTTCTAATGTTAGTACCTTTAATCAAGTGGCTCGTCATCTTGCCAATCTGAGCATGTCCATGTTTTCCTTTTGGTATGGTGAGACCCCCCTTCCCATAAGGGATTTGATTGTTTCAGATATTGCCTCTTACGAGAGGATTGTAAACCAAGACCTTAAATCTGATTGAATTAATTATGGCTCTATGCCTTAAAAAATGATTGGAACTTGGATTCTGAAAAAAAAGAAGAAAAATCCGGAGATACAAGTTGCTTCATATTGATTGATCAAACTGATGAGATTCTTGTAAAATTTTATCCCTTTTTGGGGTTGCCAGTGTTGCGATATTTTCATCTTGGGCACGGCAACAGAACTTGGCTACGGGAGACAATTTGCGTGGCAGGTCTGTGGTTTACATCAATCACCTTTAAACAAGATAACTACTCGACCTTTGGTGGTTTGGTTTTAGTTTCTTTCTGTGGTTCATTTGGATGATTGCTAACTTCTTCTGGTTTTTGATTCTTTAAGTCCATCAAATCCAATGGTTGTGGGGAGTATTGCTGCATCAACACTGCTGAGAAAGGCTGCATCAACTGCTTTTGGAAAAAAGAAAAGAGCGACACTTACAACGGACATAATTGAGTGCTTAGGGATAAGGTGGTACTTCCCGCTCCCGTTTTTTTTCATCGTATAATTTAAAACAAACTCCCTTCTAAGCTTCACTTTATTGCAGTTTGGAGGAGATATGCCCTGCTAGCTGATACTGTTGGCCCTCGACCTATCGGGTTTTTGAGTTTATCCTTCTTCGTGCACGCATGGTCTCTTGGTCTTTGTTCTTGTTGGGCTTAAGGTATGTATGCCAAAGTGTGTTTGCGTGAGTTTGCGTGGTCTGAGAGAGAAGGGGGAATGCATTGTATGGTCAGCCTGTAGGAGTGAGTTTCGTTCAACTTTCCATGTTTGGAAAGAAAATAGTTTATCTTTTGTTGTTTTTAATTTTATCACCCGTAAATGCTGGTTCTGTGATATATTGGATGTGGGTTATGGTTCAAAGTGTCAATTTTAAAAGACGTATCTACTTATTAGCAGAGACTTGGGAGTTGGGATCCAACCCCGCCTGCATCAGGGTTGGGGGGTTATGAGTTCGGAAGGCAGTATGAGATCTAATGTTTGAATGACTATGATTAATAATTTCGGATAAAATACAAAGAACTCTCCTGAGTTCTATGGCAATCAGAGAAACCTCCCCATGTTTTTACTTTAACAAAAACCTCCCCTATAATTTTGAAAAAACATAAAGTTACCTCCCCCTTCCCTAGGGCTGTTAATGGGTTGGTTCTGGGTCAGAACCTGGTAGAACTGGTCCCAAACCGGCAAGAAAAATCATGGACCTGGAACTGACCCAGACCCTATAGGGTCTAACTTAGGACCCAGAACTGAACCAATTGGTTCTTGTGACAATGGGGTCCAACCCGATGGACCCGATTATACTATAGCCTTCAAAATATCGATATGCCCGATATGCTGGTAGGGGCGTATCGGGCGAATCAATACTCATTTTTATTGCTTTTTTTTTTTTGCAAACAATTTGGGGGGGCTGGTTTAGGGTTCCTCCACCCCCTTAACCGGTCAGACCCCTGATACACCCACCCACTATAGGGGCATATCGGAGGGGTCTCAGAACGATATGTATTGGCCGATACGTATCGATACTTTGAACCTTGATTACAACTGCCAAACACCATTAATAGTTTATTAAAAGAAGAGCAAGAAGTCGAGATTCATCTCATGAAAAGGTTTAAAACAAAGGGAAAATCAATACAGATTTTAGCGGGATGCCTAGACCATAACAATAAGCTCAAAATACACCCAAAATCAATTCAGATTTTAGCTACAGTCTATAGATTTCTTGTATGGTACGAGAAATGGAGACTAGAAAGAAGAGTAGGGGTGTCCAAAAGAAATTGTAAAACCGAAAAACCAGTCTGAATGGAAGGAACCAATCTGAAAAAATTCGGTTAACCAAATTGGTCGGTTTGGTTTCAGTTTGATTTTTTTTWAAAAAATGAAGGATCGGTTTGGCTTTCGGTTAACCAAACTAACCAATATATATATATATATATTATATTTTTTATTTTATTTTAATATGTTTCCGCTCCAATGGCCCAGTCCCCACCAGCGCCCCTCTCTCTCGACCCAAGCCCAAAAAAAAAATGAAAAATGAATGTTTCTATCAAATATTCGAACCTAGGCCAAAACTAAAACTCTCTGGCCTCTTCTTGTTTGAACAACACTAGCGGGACCTGTGCAATGCATGGGATTTATTAAGTGAAAGCTAAATAATAGAAAATGGTCATTTATGAAAATACTCCTTATGGTTTCATGGATTTACTAAAATCTACCCTATAGTTAGTATTTACTAAAACACTACTTATAATTTGCAATGGATTTAATCAATCTTCCATTAGATGATAGTGGAAAATGACAATGTTGACCCTAATGTTCATTTAAATATGTTTAATCAAAAGAAAATAAAAATAAAAGTACATTTTTTCTCTTAATAAGACATGAACAACCACTCTATTGGTTATACTTGGTCAATTTTGTTTTCTATACAAAAAAAAAAAGTGTTAAGGGTATTTTTGAAATAAAAAATCATGGGCCTTATGGCAAAACAAACACTCCTTAATGAAAGGTTGATTAAGTAAATAAGTTGTAAGATATATGGGATGTTTTAGTAAAATGAAAACTACAAGGTTGGTTTAAGTAAATATGTAAAACTATAATGTGTGTAGGAATGGCAACGGGGCGGGGACCATATTCCCTGTCTCCAACCCCGATTCTGAAATTAACCCCCATCCCTTATCCTTGACGGGGATGGGTTCCCCGTGGGGACCCAAATCCCCAAAATGTTTATATATATATATATATATATATATATATATATAGGGTGGGGGCAGGGCGGGGATCTCAATCCCCATCCCAAACCCTGACCGGGGATTCCTATTAATCCTTGTCCCCATCCCGCCCCGCCAAGACAATCCCCATCCCCAACTCCATTGGGTCGGGGAAGTTAGGTTCCCATCGAGGATGGGGAAAATTGCCATCCCTAAAAGTGTGTTCTAGTAAATGCCCCTAATAGAAACACATAAGAGTAGACAATTGTTTTATATTTTCAACTTTTTTAATAATTAATAATTATTCATATTTTATAAACTATTTTAAAAAAAATTATAATACAGAGATAAGAATAATTAATTTCAGTTAGGTTTATTCATCAAACTGATGAAATCGACCAACCCGATTAACTCGATTCGAGTTGGTTTTCTAGTATTTTAGATTGGCTTTGGTTCAAAGATTTTTCAATTCGACCAAGTTGGATTAGTTTCACTTTGGCCATTTGTAAACCGACTAAAATCAAACGACCTAACCATGGATATATATTAATATTTTATATTTTAAATATAATTTTTAATATGAAAAAGTGGGAAATTTCTCATATAGTCTAAAATGTTTTATATCATAAATCTAATTTTTAAATTTATTTTTTAATAATTGCTTTGTAATTTTTAAAATTAAATTTAATTTTTAAGTTTAAACCCCAAACCGATACAACTTGAGTGAGTGGGTCAGTTTTCACAAAAGGTTAATTGGTTTCAACTGACCAACTCCCTAACCTAACCAAGTCAATTTGGTTGGACAAATAGCCTATGACCGAACCGAACCAACTCATGAGCACTCATAATTTCAACTAAATTAATAGTCTTATCTCTAATAAATAACAATAGTTTAATCTTCAATAATTATTGAAAATTTATAGTGAAAACATAATTATTGAAAATATATTGATAATAAAAAAATACAATGATTATTGAAATTACAAAAATACAATAAGTACTAAAAATATTAATTAATTACTTATAACAAAAATACAATAAATACAATAAGTACAATAAATTAAATTTACAAAATTCAATAATAATAACTTAATCTCCAATAATTATTGAAAGTTTTTTGTTAAATAACAAAACAAAATAAATTTATACATAATTATTGAAAATACATTTATTATAAAAAATAATAAATAATTACTGAAATACAATAAATATTAATTTTAGTATATACAATTATATAATAAATGCAGATTAAGAGTTTAAAATTATTATTAATAAATATTAATTTTTTTTTGAAAGTTATTTTTTCAAATTATTACTTGATATAAGTGAATAATTATTTTAAATATTATGTAAAAATTTTAAATTATTATTAATTTCAATATTATGTTATAATTAATTTTCTACTTTTTAGAGATTTTTTAAATTTATTACATAATTTGTTTATTTTAACTATTTAAAATCTAGTTATGTCAAATATTTTGTTATTTAAAACATTTAGTTATTTAACTACTTAAATAATATGTAAAATATTTAATTTTTTAATGATTAATTATTTATTGAATTTAATTATCCATAAAATCATAATTTATACTATTATTACATAATTTCATTATTAATTTTGTAATATATTAAATTATTATTAATTTCAATATTATGTTATAATTATTTTTCTTCGAAGAAATCTTTTAAATTTATTACATAATTTCGTTATTTTAACTATTTAAAATCTAATTATGATAAATATTTAAATAATTTATAAAATATTTTAAATTTTTTGTTATTTGAATTTTATATTTTAAAGCTATTATATATTATTAAATATTTGAAAAACATTTAAATTGATAATCCAGAAAAACAAAATTTAAATTGTTAGTACATAATTTCGTGATATATTTTGTAAAAATATAAATTTATATGTTGTGTTTTTAATAAATATTTTAAAGTTATTATATAATTTTATTAGAATATTTAAATAATTATTAAATTTTTTAATCCAAACTTTCTCTAGATAGATATAGATAAAAAGTTGGGGATAGGATAAATAGGAATTAGAGATAATTTAGGAGAGAAACTCTCTACTAAATTAGAGATAATTTTGGAGATAAAAAGGAATTAGAGATAATTTAGAAGATAAATAGGAATTAGAGATAATTTTGGAGAAAGTGGGGGATAATGGGGGAGGTAATTTAGGAGAAATTTTAGGAGAAGAGATTATTTAGGTTATTGGAAAAATGGATCTTATTGGTTGTTTCAAAAATGACATGGAATTAAAAAAATAATCTCTTCTCCCATTACCATCGCTGTTGTCTGTCGGCCAGTTCTTTTTCTCCTCCGTCGCTGTAGCGCTGTCATCCGATCTGGTTATCTACTTATCTTTCTTCTTGTTTCTAAAAGAAAACAAGAAAAATCAACAGACAGAAACCAAACCATTTCTCCTCTCCCGTCGTTGTCGCCCATCGGCCGGTTCTTTTTCTCCCTAGTTGCTGTCGTCGTTGCCGTYATTGTCGTCCGATTCTCTTTCTCCCCCATTCTTCTCATTCTCCGAATCTGAATTTCTACTCTAGGCTCTGGTTTTCTCCCTTACAGTTATTTTTGTTATTTTCTCCGAATCTGAATCTAAATTCTTTGTTATTTTTGTTATTTTAGATAGGAAACATTTTTTAATAAAAATGAAAAAATAAAAAAAAACGAAAATTGAAGACCGGTCAACCGGTTAACCACTTGTTTCGGTTCTGACTGATACAAAAACTGGTGGTTAGGGCTATTCATAAGAAGGCCCAAACCGACCAACCCAGACTGACCCAACCCAAGTTGGTCGGGTTTTCATAAGCACCGATGGGTTTCGGGTTGTACAAATTCATAAACCGATGGTTCGGGTCAATTTCAGTTTTCTTGTGTGAACCAAAACCGACCCGAATTGAACCAACTTAGTTCCTACTTAACTAAGTTGCCTCTATCCTAATTCCTAATTACTAGGGGTGTTCACGGGTCGGGTTGGGTCGATTTCATGGGATTTTCCCAACCGACCTGACCTAGTCGGGTTACYAGAGGTGGGAACTGAAACCGACCCACTAATAGGCCAAACCGACCTGGTCGGTTTGAGTCGGGTTGGGTCGGTTTTGGTTTTGCTCCTGTACAAAGCCGAATAAACTCTGAATTAGTTGAGGACTTGAGTTGAGGGGGGCGGACCAACAAAGTTAAGTTAGAGAATAGAAGATTTTAAGAGAAGACAAAAGTGGAATTAGAAGACTAGTAGGAAACTAGGAATTCTAATTGTAATTGCCTAATGGACCTTCTAGTTCTAGTAGGAATTCTAATTGTAATTGCTTAATCTAGGTAAAAAACTAAAAACTGACACCTAATTAATTGAATTCTAATTGTAATTGCCTAATGGGCCTTTTATTTCTAGTAGAAGTCTAGAAGACTAGTAGGAATTAGAAAACTATTCAAACTAGGAAGTAGGAACTACCAAACTAGTAGAAGAAAGACTAGTTCGGTTCGGGTCGGGTCGGTTTCGGTTTTCTTATGTGAAAACCAAAACCGACCCAAGATATCGGTTTTTGTACGTGCCCAACCCGAAACCGACCAGTACGAATGAAAACCCGATCGACTCGGGTTGGGTCGGTCCGGGTTAGTCAGTTTGGTCGGGTTGGGCATTCTTATGAACAGCCCTACTAATTACAACCTAACCTAGTCTTCTAGTTCATATTTAACTAAGTTGTCTTTATCCTAGTTTCTAGTCTTTTAGACCAAATAGGCAACCAATTAGGCAATTACAATTAGAATTAGGTGTCCTTTTTTACTTAGATTAGAACTTAGAAAGTTTCTTGAAATATACAAATTTCAGCCTTCTTTCTATAAAACAGTTTGACTTTCTATTTTTTTGATAACTTTTGTCTTCTATTCTAATTCTAACTTTTTAAATATATTTCCAAAAAATATCTTAAAAACTTCAGTTTTCAGTTTTCTGAAATCGAACCTAAATCGACCCAACCTAACTCAAACCGACCAGGTCAATTTTGCTTTACACCGGGTCGGTTTCGGTTTTCATCTCAAGTAACCCGACCAGGTCAGGTCAGTTGGGAAAACCCCAATAAACCGACCCAACCCGACCCGTGAACAGCCCTACTATCATTGTGCGTCACTAACCATTAACCCAGCTGAATCAATTTAGTGTGTAGGAATGCTTAAAATTTAAAGTGGCCTTCGGTAAAATAACTCAAAGAAAATTAGAAATGCATCGCCATAAAGATGCGAGCACATGTGCGTGTATGTGAATCATCATATGGTTGAATGATTCCACCCTTCAGATCGTAGAATACCTGCAAATTCTGGGCCATACACAATTTTCTTTTACTGCTAAATAACAACACTGAAAAAACCATAATAATCAATTCATCAGGTTTTTAATCGCCAATATGTATGTTATTGCATTTTAAAACAAAAACAACCACCACATCAAACGGCATCATATTGTTTTAATGTTTTTGCCGATGTGGCAGTTTGTGTTTTTGAAAAACAAAAACGCACATGGCGGCTGAACCCTCTTTCTTGACAAACAACCATATATGCGTCAGAAACATTTAGAAGTCATGGGGTTGTCTTCCCTATTCCCTAATACATAATCAAAAACCATAAATACCATTTCCTGGAAAGAACCATCCAACAATTCATTGGGCTCGCCACCACTAGCACTTGCATTGAGATGACTAGCTATAATGTTTTTCTTTTTTTGGTAAATATGACTAACTTATGATGTTAGCTTCCCTGTACATGTCTGCTGTATATATATATGTATTACAGTCATCCATAATTCCATATTACTTGCAAGTGTCAGAGAGGTTCCAAAGAACCATTACAATATTTGGATGTAAAACCACATTCAGTGATACCTATAGCTTCTTTTTTTTCAGTTTTTTTTTTTTTTTGAAAGCCTTGATAGCTTCTCTATTACCATGTATCTTCAGCAATATTTAACTTTGGACTGTTCTTCATGTCCTTGTGATGGTAGAGTATAAATCAGTGTGCTGTAGCTTAATACATTCTCCTACTAAGCATATAGTGCTCAGTCTGCTGTTCCTGTCTTTGCAAATTCAGCAAATAAGGAAGTTGATAATAAAATAAAGCCGCAAAACCATGATTACGTATGGTAGGCAATAATTAGAACATTAAAGAGACAATAACAATTATCACGCACAAAATAATGTTATAGATTAAGCAACCACATCATATCTTGTTTTCAAATTATGGTAAGAGAAGTAAACACTACTTTTCATCATATTTCTATAATTCTATTTATACTGCATCAACTTTAGTAAAGCTTACAAATTAAGAAAATGGAAAAATGGGAAACACAAGGGAAAACACAGACCAAGAAGGCACTTCCAAATTCCAATCCATAAAAACCAATTACTCCCTAGAAATTTTTGATGTATTAATGCTTCATATAGAAACATATATCTGCAGCTCACTATCTGGACTATATAATTCAAGTACTCAACATCCCTCTCTTGTCCTTTCATTATGCTGACAATTGGAAGAACTTTCAACACCCTAAAATTCTGCAACACAAATACTGAAATAACATGAACAAAGGACCAAAATAAAAAATGAAACATACATCCCTAACAAGAAAACTTATTATGAGATATAGAGATTGTTTATGCTAATATGAATAGTTAAATAAAAACATATCCATTGTTCCGACATGATCAAGAAAAATAAAACTTCTTAGAACAATAAATCTAGCCATCTGATAATATCCCAGTGGCGCCATTTCAAACTACTTGTTTTCAGATTGAAAACCAATTAATCCTGTGAATCAAAGGGTTGCTAGAAGTGAATCACATATTGCAGTGCCTAAAGATGTGATTGTTGAATGTAGAAGCAGTATATGAACGTGGACACATTAAACAACCTAACCATCCGATATGCAAATGACTACAGATAATCCACACTCAGAAAATCTGGTTGTCATACTTGGAGACATGAAAGTTAAAGGGAATAACACATGAGAGTCCATAAAAAAAAAAAAAAATCTAAGTGATCACTGAATAATTAAATAGACATAAATTGTAATGCAACAAGAAATACCATTCTATTTCTCTCAAAACATAAAATGAACATACTGATATTACCACTTTCAACCTTTACCCAAACTATTTGCAGCTGGCATGATGAGTTTTCACTTACTTTCTTCAAAATGTCTGCTACGACCATTCTTCTCCAGCTTAAGAATCTGAGGGCGGTTGCTGCTGCTGTTGCTGTGGTGGTTGTGGCCATATTTGCTGAGCCATGTAAGGGCGAGGCTGTTGCCCATACAAAGCTTGATCGACAACGGGTTTACCCATGATCATTCCAGGAGTTCCAACCTGTGGTGAATGTTGAGGCATGTAATAATAAGGAAGAGGGTCAGCAGGACCTCCAACAGGCAGCGTTCCTCTGGGCATTGAGGCAAGTACCTCATCTTTCAAATCCTCCCTGGGGACAATGTCAACCAGGAAGTCAAAGATATCAGTCCTTGTGATTGCTGCAGCAATGTCATTCTTCTGGAGTGTTCTACGCTTGTTCTCCTCTGTGTGGTTCCATGAACGCAGTGTCAACTCCAAGATGAACATCTCACAAGCCCTGGCAAATACGACAGGAGCCTCTGCTGATATCATTCTTACATCCTCATCAGCCTTCATGATTTTCTTGATCCTTGCCAATGGAAGGCTATGGTTCTTGAAGTCAGTGGTCTGCTCAATTTCTTGGTATTGGTTTGACCAAAAAGCCTGGAGTTGTTGCTGCAGTTGCTGTTGCTGCTGCTGGTGGAGGTGCTGATAAGCAAGTTGGTGTGGTGCAAGCTGAGCTGGGGAAGCAGTGAAACCTGTTGGTTGACCAGCAGGTTGAATAGATCCAACTGATGTGACAACTGATCCAGGAGGATTGGCTGCAATCATTTGGTTAGTTTGATATGGAGTTGTGCCATATGGCACTTGAGCACCACCACCAACCACCCCCATGACTGGGGGCTGTCCATGAGCTTGTTGATCCATTCTGGTCTGTGTGAGATGATTTTATCCTTCTGGATCTGGGTAACAGAAAGAAAGAATAAATGAATAAATAGATCATGGTCATGATCATGATGGTCACCTTCTGGTTGAAAATAACACAATAAGGTTAAAAAACAGGTCCAATTATATAATGGCAATGGTATGGGACCATGGAAATTAGCACACCATCTAATGGGCATCAAATCCATAGTGGCATCTTTTTCCATTTCTCTATTTAGGTCTCATGGTATTGTACTTAGCTCATGGGTTATCTGGTATGTAATATACAGAAACTGCTCTGTGCATTCATAAGCTGCATTTGGGCCATTATGAAAGGCTGGGCTCTCTATCCGTTCATTGTTCATAAAGCATATGGTGCACCAGTGCCTATGTATTATATAACTTCTTTCTTCTCATAGTTTTCTTTTTTAATATAAACCAGATGCAAGTCTCTCAAGAGCTAAGTTAAGCAACTTCAACTAAAATCACTGCAAGAGAACATAAATACATTTTTTTCAGTAATATAAATTCAATTCCAGTATTAGAATTTGGTAAAATGGAAACAATATTGCAAATTTGTAAATTTTCAGCAGATCCCAAGACAAGAGAAAATTAATTGCAGTAGCCAAACCCAATTCTTGAGTCTTGTTATGAATTTATGATAATGAAAAGTCTGACAAAATGTTTCCCAAATCAGGTAGGCCCACCCAATTGTACTACTTCAATCAGTTGCAACTTCAAGATTTATAATTTATGCTCCACTATAAGTTTAAACCATTAAAAGAGCACTAAAGCATCTTCCACTTTAGCATCAGAGTATCCTAGAGAGACAAGATACACTTTACAATAACCCATTAAAATTATGCTTTAAAATGCCAGTAACATCTGTGATCTTAGGTTGTGCATAAGCTCAGGCTCAGTAAATGCTGGCAAAGAGTTCGCTACTGGTTTAGAGTTGTTTAAGCTCAAGGTGATTCAATCCCAAGACATAAAAAGTCATAGTCACTTGTGAAACTTTACAATAACTTCAATAATATACTAGCTATTTTTAATTTATCAAGTATATAAAATGTTCTGACAGGCCAACTCAGGCTTGCTTAGCATAATGAACAGAGCTTGATAGTTGGGCTTGGCTTTGAAGCTCCAATGTAAAGCTTATATGCCGCTTATGCTAAGCCAATCATAATAGTAGCATGAGTTAGATCAGCTTCTTGACAGCCTACCCACCAACTCACGACACCAGGTCATTCAATCAATCATCTGCTTCAAAAGTCAAAACCCAAGAAACCCTTCTTACCATTACTCATGCCAAATTTATGAATAAAATAGGCAAAAAAACCTGGAAGGAGAATGTATTGCATATAAAGCATCTCTTTTCTTATCCCTCTTCAATTGTTCTTTTTATATAGATAAAATTCTTCAAAGGTTCATAAAAGAAAAAGAAAAAAAAGTCTCTTCAAATAATCTTAATTTTATCTCTTTTTTATTTCCAAAAGAAATATCCCTGTCTCTCCTCCTCAACGAAACCTGTCATTGGGCTCAATTCATAGAACTACAATCATTCATTTGCTGTATTTGAAGTGAAACCATTTCATCATGCCAAACAATGTTATTAAAGCATCAACAAGCCAATGACTAGTTGATTGACTAATCAGTTGAGGATAGTGTTTTAAAAGTGAAAAGTGCAACTAAAACACAGGGGTTCCAAGAGACTGAGGCATGACATTGAAGGCAACGTGCACACCTGAACTAATATTAGCATATAAGAATAATCTAAATTCTGAAAGAAATAGGCTACTCAAGCCCAACTAGTGAAGGTGCATTATTGAGAACTCTTCTCACTCTCTTCAAGGATCATAACTGGCTTAAACCTATGACTGTAATGCCTTTCATAATGGATGGAGACTGCCAAAGTTGCAATAGGTTGGTTTTCAGAAAGGGAGAGGCCCTTCATCTCTTATACTTCTGAAAAAGAGAAGCAAAACCTGCTTTCCAACATGGGCTGCTCATTTAGGTGGATACCTAGATCTGCAAATGGTCTTTCTGAGACTTTCGCAAGAGATGGGATAACAAGGGAAGATTTGGAATGGGACCAAGCCTAGAAATTAAACTATAACTTGATGATGCATTTCTTGAGATTGTAATTGTCAGCGTTGGACTGTTTTGCACTTGGTCCCCTCTATTTCAAGCACTTCAGAATGATTGGGGTTTTCTCTCTTAGATAAAAAAAAAGTATGTTTTATTATTGCTGATAAAAAATCTGAAATAGAATATTTCAAAAAGTTTATTAGCCCAATTGGTTATAACGTCGTGAAGGTTGTACCAATCTATGTTCAAGTCCTCTATATGCCAACTGTTTAAGCTATAAACATCATAGCTGAAATCTACAACATAGTGAATTAACTATTTAAACTTCAAATTCAAAGTTAACTCATCAAAACATAACAAACCAACTAGGCACACCCACAGAATGATATTTTACTACACAAGGTGTACCTTCTAAAAGCACTTCCCCACATTTGCCAAATGTTAAATGTGTTCCACTATTTCACAAATCTGTTAAATTAAAGAAGGGGGGCTGGTGAAAAAGACATTACCAACAAGAAAATAAAGGACTTGGGGGGGGGGGGGGGGGGCAATATGCCTAAATACTCCATAAATATTGCAAGCTATCTACTCCACTCATAAAAAGTAACAATTTCCAGATAGTCCTTGGGATTCCTTCAGAATGAAAAGCACTGAACCTCCAAGTCTGTGGTTCATAATCTTAAAAAAAAAAACAGGGCCTCCCATACAATCAAGATAAACAAGCTTCGTTGAAGCAACTATTGTCCTGTAACCCGCAGTTAACCTTAGTCAGCCTCATAGCTACAGTCTATGCCTTTCTTGCCCAATCCACTTGTCAAATTTTTCTTGATGATTTTGTACCATAGTGTTCCCTCCAAGAGGAGATTCTGAGGATGCACAATCAGTTGTTATTTTCTCTTTGGCTCTTCCTACCTTTCATCAGTTCATGTTCATATACTCAATAGCAAGCATTTTTACAAAAGAAATCATAGACCTGCTTGCAAACTGTTATGTGGTTTGTGATCCTATATATGGAAGGTACATATATAAATATTTTAACCACAAAGAGAAGTAATAAGCCTTCCAGATGCCATAGTTTCTTTTCCACTCAGATCAACAAAGAAGGTAAATACTTGTAACAGAGAATATTTTAGACTCCAAGATGAGCTTATTAACTATCGATTAAACAAAATAAAACGTGGGTATATCAGCGAACATGAAATAGAAATTAGCAAAAAAAATTGAATAATCAATTTTCATTTACTGCAGCAACAGTAGCCGGGTGTATAACGCATCTACTAAGATTGAAGACAAAAAAAATTGACCACAGAATTAAGCTACGCAATATGACAAATTGCCACCTCTCCTACTTATTATCCTCACTACGGAACCCCTAATTTTTTTCAAGCCGTATAAAATCGCAACTAGGAGCTACAGTTTTGCCAATGCAGAAGCAACTCTAAGTTTATTATCGTTTAGTCAAACCTGGGAAAGAGCGAAACAAAACATAAGAAACCAACAAAATGGACTAAAGAAATCAACAGGAACCAGGAGGCTGACTATAGTATAGAATTATTCATTTTTGAATTTTAATGGATGAACGAAAAAGATAGCCGGCGTAAATACAAAGTAATGATTTCTAGGGAAAATATAGTCTACTAACCCGTAACTGTCACTCTAAGAACATCGATATGACCGAAAAAAGATCGAATAAATCAAGCTTAAAAATCCAGAATCGAGAAACAGATCCAAGAACGACTTGCCATGAAGTAAATAAATTCGGTTGTGCTGGAAATAGAAAGGCTTCACCTTTTCACACAGATAGACTCGAATCTGGAGTTGTTTGTTTATGCTTCTCCTCCTTCTTACCAGACTGAAACCCTGAAAATTTCGACTGACCGATTAAACGTCGTAAAGTCAAAGCTAGGTTTAGAAAGAAAGATTGGAAAAAGGACAAGAAAAAATAGATTGTCTTTCCAGGAAGCTGGGAAGAGACCGAGAGGTTACCACGTCTCACCTTTTCGCAGAGCGAGAGAGAGAGAGAGAGAGGATATAAGATTCTGTTGGCTAGGGTTCTGAATTAAAGGAGAAGTGATGAGAGAGAGACGAAAACAGTTTCCCGTTTCTTCTAGTTTTCTTTCGTTTCTACAACAAAAAATAAAGAGAGAAAGTAAGAAACCAGAAATTGGTTCGTGGAGACATATTACTTTTGTTGTCTTCTCTCACTCAGTCCTCACCACAGTTTCCTGACTTTTGTTGGAGTTCGTCTTTGGACCCCATCTCCGACAAACCAGGCCCAGGATTCCACTCATGAGTCCTGACTGACTGACTCCCAACTAATAAAACACTCCTCGAGTTCCGCCTACTTTGGAAATTTGGATGCTTGCTGTTCCGTTCGCAGGTGGGGCCAGCATCCCACGTGGGTCGTTTGCTAGTGAAGATGAGATTTACAACGCCAGCGGTTTCCACGTGGTAAATTGGTTGGGCTGTCAATACAGATCCGGTGGCTTATCATATCGCCGTCACTCCCCATTTTTTTAATTGTTTAAATAGAGTTCAGGCCACGTGGAAAAAATAAATATTTAGATTTTTATTAGGTCAGTACATACATGGTTGAGTATTATGGGATAAAAAAAAAAAAAAGCGGATAACGACTGATCAGCACACAGCAACAAGAACAGAAAGAGCAGACGGTGAGCATTGAGCAAGCAAACCTTCGCATACGGATCGGCCGTATTTTTCATGGACAGTCCGTATTTACATGTGGGGCCTACGCCCAAAAAACAAGGGTACATTGCTGAAGCCTCTTATATGAAGTTTCCCATAATTGCTTAAGCATACCCTGAAATTTGTTAATAGCAGTCGAAGACGTAGTGGCATCTGCCACACCCCACCGTACATTACAAGTGAAAATCTATGATATCGGAAATACATGGTATCTTATTGTGCTGCTCTAGCCATTTTTGTGCACATTCCCATCAATTACTTCTAGTTTGTAGGGATACAAACGGATCGATCCACATTGTTTATGATGACGTGCAATCCGGTCGGTCTTAGCTGTCAACGACCTTGCCTCTAAAGTGAGTAGTAGGGAATCTGAAACAGGGGAGATGAGGAAACTCCAAGGGGAACCCGGTGTAAAGGCTCCGAAGCTCAAGTTAGAATCCTTCAAAGGCAAGATAAAACCAGATAGCGCAAAGTTTGCATACCTCCTCTTTGGGGGAGTGGAGAGCCTTTTATAACCACATCGCGCACTCACTCCTAGACTTCTGTCAGGTC